ACCCCCTTTCCCTCCCACTCCATTCTTCTATCTTCCCTAACGGGCTACTCTAGCCACACTCCGTGACTAGGTGGCTCCTCTGCTCAAAGACACCTGCTCACCCCCCTTTAATTCCCCAGTGTTTGTAGAACAGAGTCCTGGCATTTATGTCTGACCTAAGGGAGACTAATACCCAGCCCTGACCACCCAAGCTCAGTCCCACTTCTGGCCCACCCCACACACACCTCTGAGATCCTGAGAAGCCGCAGAAAACCTCCAAGAGCACCCCTTTCCACTTTACAAAAAACACCAGTGCCTTCAATATGCTGTAGTCTCTGCCCAGAATATCCTTCCTTAGTTCTTTTCACACGGCAACACTTTACTGGTCATATACCATCCCATTCAAATAGCACGTAATCTGTCAGGACTGTGTTGGCTTCCCTGCCTTCCTTTTCTGAGTTCCCACATTAGTTTGTAGGTGCCTCCATCACAGTTCTTAACAAACTATACAGCAATTATCTCTTTATGTATCTGACTCCCCAACTAGTTCCAGTCCATGACTATGTCTCCTGTGTTTTACCACTCGCAGTCCCCATCCTTCCAAATTAGTGCTCAATCCAGATTCACGACAGGTACAATCCCAGCTATTTTTGACAGTTTTTTTTACCTCAAAGGTAGACTACAATAATCAATGGGCACTGACTGCCACAGAAACCTGAACCATTTAGAAGGTAGGCAATCCTTTTGGCTTTAAATTAACTATATACAGTTGGATACCTCTTAATTAGCTTGAATAATTTCAGGCCACATTCTTTAATTTAAACAATAGTTTGACGTACGTATCCTTGGGCAAATAGCTGTTTGAGTTTTCCTATTACATTCTAAGCCCTTGGAGAGCAGAAGCCAGGTCTTATTCAACTATGTATAACCACAGCACCTGTACCAGATAAATGTTCACAATAAAAGGTTGTAAAATTGAATTCCCAGAATGAGTGGTGTCTTAGTTTGGGCTGCTCTTAATCCAAAACCGCAGACTGGGTAGCTTAAACCACAAACATTTCTACAGCTATGAGGCTAGACAGTCCAAGGTCAAGATGCTGGCCCACTCAGAGTTAGGTGAGGGCCCTGTTCCTGGTTTGCAAATGGTCATCTTCCTGTTGTGCCCTCTCTTGGTGAAGACAGAGAGGCTCTCATCATTTCCCTTTCTTACAAGGGCACTAATCCCTCATGGGGCATCATCCTCATGACCTCAGCTAACCCTAGCTGCTTCAAAGGGCCCCAGCACCAAATAACATTACCTTGAAGCCTGCGACTTCCACACAGGAGTACTGAGGGACAAAACACTCAGTCAATAGCAAGTCGTCATATTGATATTTCACCACATTTTTTAATGTTCCATTTGTATCTTTGCAAGGAAACAAAGATATTCGATTCCATTTTTAGAAAAGAGTCAAACAGAGAAAATACATTCCTCTGCAACATGCCTCCAGCACAGAAACACAAACTTCGGGCATTCTGATCAGGCAAGTTAGTTTAGAGAAAAGAGCACAAGGGTGCCTCATGCTCTCTTGTTTTGACTGGGGACCCATAGCTGATCCCCATCTCTATTCCTAAGGGGGAGGTTACTGCTGATCTAACCCCTGCTCCAGGCGGGCGAGGTACACAGAGCTTTCTCTCCTCCAAAGCAATACTGGTAAGGGGCCAGGTGGAGAAAGGCAGCTCCTGATCCTTGTGTCCTCTCCAAGCTGAAGCATACTGAATTTTATGAGAAACATCCCTAAATGAACACAAATCTTTCACTCGATGGGAAGGGTGAGGAAGGAAGATGAGGGCAGCTTTGTACATTTAAACACTGAAGAAATGCTAAAGGAATGAACTAATGCCCAGATTTCAAATAAGAACAACACTCATTTTAGTGTTGTTGTTTTCTTTAAATGGAGGCAAAACATATACAGATGTTAGCATAACTTCTCCCTAAACATTTGAGGGTAAAACATTTTTATTAATAAAAAATGTAGGAGGGAAAAAATAGATGGAGAGGTGTTTGTGCATAATTATAAAACATTTGCTATTGGTTTCATTTGAGAGTTTATGTACCTACTACCCTTAAAGTTGCATTCCACAGGAGAAGTTACTGGCCAGTTTCTACTATAATAGTTTTAGGAATCTGACATATGCAGGTGAGAGAGCATTTTAAAACCACTTGCAAAGTTCCTTAGGGTCAGACTGCAGGCATTTTCTTCCTACTTTGAACATTCTTGCCTCTTTCCTCTTAATCTTTTTTTTTTGTGCAGGTTCTCATTGGTAACTATATTATTGCCCCTCTTCTCTCCTCATCTCTACTGCCTTCTATTCCATCACCTTCCTTTTCTAAATTGTTTCTTAAGTTTTCCATCTTCCTAAATGTGAAATTCTGAACTATATCAAAAATACTCTACCCTGAAGGTTTTTAAATGTAAACTATGCCTCTTACTGCATAGCCTAGTGTCAATAATTAAATATAACATTACTGATTCTCTTATCCAAACAACACATATTCTAAATTTAAAAAGAAATATTACACTGCTAGTTCAGCTGTAAAGATAAAATAAAACCTCAGAACACATTCCAACATCATAAAATTTTATCAATAAATTAAAAAGTATATTGAAACACACAGAGACTGTAATTTTCTCTGACCAATGCACCCTCCTTTTACTGCACAATCTTTCATGTTTCAGCTTTTACTCAGAAACTCATGGTTGGTATATGAAGCTATGAATTTAATTTTCTGGTGAATTCTATGCAAAAATTTCCCCCCTTTTTATCAAAATGTTAGAACAGATTCTCTTTTTCTCCACTCCCTCTGCCACTTTTATTCCACATCCTTGTACTCCCAGAAGAGGGAGAGACCCTTCCATAGACTCCACAGGAGGCTCCAGGGATCCTGCCTTCCTTGTGAAATGCAAGCACTCCTCTGGAGAAAGGTGTTTCCTGCCTGGGTTATATTTCATTAGTGCTACAGATTCTGTGATGCCTCCACAGCTACTTTTGTCACTACCTAAAAAAAACCAAAAACTATGTTTTTTTTCCTCCCTCCAGGGAAAGTAACACATAATTGAGTCCTGATTTCCAAAGTCTCTCAAAATTTGCCAAGCTCTCCACTGGGATCTCACTAGAAAGAACCGGTGTGATCTTTCCTGGATAGGAGGGCAATTAGTCTATGGACTTCAGAAAGGCCCTGGGAGAAAGCATTATAACTCTGACTGTTCCTGAATCCTCCCTACCTGTTCCTTCATGACAAAGTCTCATCCAACAGAAGAGCCGATGGCATCCCAGAAAATACATTTCCCTAACTATCTATTTTACATGTGTCTTTTTAGCTATAATGATCACCTCCATTAACACCCAATGCACTCACTAGAGAATTTAATATGAATTCTTTATTAAAAGTCACACATTACCATGAGAAGTGGAGAAAAAAAAAAAAAAAACAAACAACAAAAAACTTCATAATAAAATATCAAGCTGTTCACCTTTATCCAAAACAAATAATCTTAGTGATAAAGCTGTCATGTAAAGCTTACATATTACCCTTAATTTATAAGGGGAATTTATAGTCAGTTTTTAATTTTTTTTTTTTTCTGGCAGAGTCCAAACTAATACTTAGTTACTGAAAAAATGTGTGTGTCAGTACCTAAAAAAAGTATATCATGTTCCCCATTTGTTTTGTCTTCATATTTCTACTGTGTCAATGAGTTGGAGATGATAGTGTATAACTCCATTTTAACACATGGGAAAGGAGTTCATAAAGATAACCTCTGGTCCAACACGAAGCTAACACAATCAAAGTTTGTTTCTTATTCTGCCTACCTCCAAACATATTTATTATTTCCCTGGATTATAAACAAGAAAATTAGCATTTGCCAACAGCAACAATAACAACAAAGTAAACATTGTCAATTTCTCTGGAATAGAAATCATTAAGGACATTTTGACCAAGGAAAGTCTAATCTGATATTCAATAGAGCTTATCTTTCTCTTAACTGTCACATTTGATTATATATATGGAGGCCAATAACACAAGTAATGATGATCTGGAAGAAAACAGCGATCGGGAGTATAAATGAAATATGTTTAAATATCCTCTTTATTTTGAAAAGGACTTTTTTTGTATTTCTAAATAAGTGTCCCTTTCCCAGAATCAGGACAATTAAGAAAAATAATTGTTTCATAGCTTCTCTAAAAATGAAAACTTGCAAGTTTACTATCTCAACAAAACGTAGATTAAAAGCTCTAATATTTGATCCTCTAAATCCATAAAATTTTTTTACAAGATTTAATTATTGTCGTCTAAGAGAAGTTACATTTAGGCAAAATATGTTTCTGCTCATTCGAGGTAACAGAACAAAAACACTCACTAACTAAAGATCCATTTTCTAGGCACACAATGCTATAGAGAGGAGAGGCATTTGGCCTTCTGCCTCAACTTCAGGGGATTTCGAACTCTAAGGTGCCTCAGAGTCGCCTAAAGGACTTGATAGAACACATGGCTGGGCCTCACCCAGGGGAATCTGACTCACTGGTTCTGGGGTGGGCCTGGGAGTTTACATTTTAACAAGTTTCCAGATGCTGATGATGATGATGATGATGTGAATCTCAGTATGACACTTAGAGAGCCACTACTTTAACTCTTCCACCTACTCAACCACTGTGGAAGCCTCAATATGATATGTCTAATGATTCTAGATGAATATCCTGTGTGTTATGTCAGTTAGCTTTACTGACAAATAAAACCATTTCTTAAATAAAGTATTACTTTGGAATATCTTCACATCTCTAAGTTGCAGACCATTTTTTGAAGCGTCACGAAATTATAGATATTTAATACATTAAATTAAAAATATTTTTATATATGTATCATATCTTTACTGGTAGTTCTTAGATAACTATGCTATTTGAAGACTCACCGGACTTCTGATTGGATGTTAAAAACAACAAAGTATGGATGTAAGTGGGCAGTCCCTGTCCTCAGGTCTTACCTGTGACTGGTGCATCGATATCCAGCAAATTTTTTTCCTGTCGAAGAATGGAAGCCCCCTCTGTTATTATTCTCAATGCAACACTCTCTTCCAGCCGGCCCTCCTTCATGAGATGTGCCTTTAAGATATCCACACGAGGTTTCCCATCGTTATCAAACACTTCCTTTGCTGTGAGCCGGTGACTTGGAGGAAATGGGACAGCTGAAAGAGAAAAGGTCAGAATCCTACATTAGTCAAAACTCAACAACAAACGATTCAGGAATAACCACCAGATATTTATCCTAATCACTAACCACCTATTCGAGTATTTTAAAAGTTCCCACATTAAAATGATCAAGGGCTCTCAAGAATTAAAGATTTCCTTTGATTCCAGATGTAATATGATTACTTGAAAGGAAGTTGGCAGTAATTTATTGCATCTTGAAGCTGCTGATTGACTTAATAAGAAAACAGGATATGTGCTTTAATTAGGCAAACATCAATTCAGCAAAAGAAAATCTTTCCTATAGATCCAACCTTAACTAACTTGAGCAAAAAAAGCAGGCTCCTCCACTGGGATTGGAAAAATGGGAAAAGTTCTGGAGACTAGATCGCGCCTTCACCTAGAGTCACATCTCTGAGTAAATGTATGGACTCTCTGTTTAAGGGGAGAACAGGAATCTGAGAGAAAAAGGGCAAAAATTCACAGAACCAGGATTTGTGTGTGTATGTACTGAAGGAACATCTTGAACAGTAAGAGGACAGTATGATGTCAAGAAAGAGACACATATTTAGGAATATGGTACAATGACAAAACTCTTACTGTGCAGACCTACACCCAGCCATTCTCTCTCCGATACCCTCAAGCCTTCTTAACAGTAAGAAGCACTCCTACAACAATTGTCATTCTTCACACTGGTGAATACATCCATTTCTCCACTCATTCAGCTGGAGGACGTTCCATAAACAACTACAATGAGCCATGACGGGACTCCCAGGCCCATGGGCAGAGGTGGCATCATGAATGTTAAATTTCTGGTAAATGGTCAATATGCTCCTTCAGGAAGGGAAATTCATTATTTTTCTATTTCACATGAGGGTTCATTTTTGGACTACTCAATCTATTAGATTTATCTGAAAGGTGCATAAACACAGCTTCACATAATTTTCATCGGCCATATGCATTATGCCATATGCATTAAGAACATCCCCTTATGACGGTTCCCCTAAGCAAAGCACACCTGATATTAAGGAATAAACCTGGCTCTCGAAGAAGCTAGAATGATACTAGGCCAAGAAATTCTGTGCATTCTAATAGCACACATTAGTTACGCAAGAGAAATTAGAACTACTTAAGTGAGAAGAAAAATCAGGAAATGAACCTGTACTAATGCAAGTTTGATTTTCCTAACAATCCAAGCATATCTACTTAACCTTGCTGCCCAAAACAAAGTGGCAGTGGCACACGCCATGGAGCAGCACGTGGCTTTTGTGGTCAGACAGACCTGGGTGCAGGCCCTGGCTCTGCTCCCTCCCCAGCTGTGTGACCCTGGGCAAGTTAAACATCTCCCTATGGCTTCTGTTCCCTCCCCTGTAAAGCGGGGATTATATCTACCTGACGACTGTTATAGGAACTAAAGCAAATAGTAATAGTAACCAATATTTATAGAATGTTTATTTAATGCCAGACAATGTTTGGGGTAATAAAGTCAGAACAGTAAAGCTGTAAGATGAGTAAGACCTATGTACATGTGTTTATATGTAAAGTTATTGAGCCCCCATAACATTACCGTGGGAGACAAAGTTGATGCTCAAAAATAGGAAGCACCTCTTCTAAGATAAGCACCTAGAGATGTACACATAGACCCACCGAGTATAATCTCTGACGATCTGATGCCAGTATTACTGTGTTAACAACTACTCCCCAATGTTTCCTAGAAAGTACTTAAAACAGTGCTGAAAAAATAATGAGCAAATCACATTTCAGCATTGAAATTCTAACAAATACTGAGTGGTGCTTCTTATAAAGACCACTTTTATTTCCAAAAATAATTTTAATGACTGATGGTAGAATGACTTTATAATACAAAACATAATATAAAATAAAAGGCAAAATGTGTAATGCCAAAGCATACTGTGAAATAAAAAAAATTAAGAATCAGAAGAAGAGAAGAAAAAGAGGAAATCTGGCCATTCATCTTGAGGCATTTGAAGAGTTTGTTCATCCCGTTTCATTGTCTACCTCCTTTTTCTTGCCTAATACATATCTTTGTTAAGAAAACATGAAACAATTGCAATGGACACATTTTTTTTATTTAACTCTTCATGTACAAGCATGGTTTGAAATTAGAAAATACCTGGCGACTCCTCAAAATGTCCTAGTTATAGGATACGGGTGGAAAGGGGGAAACTTCAAAAGAACACATAGGATAAAAACAAGAGCTGATTTGTTTGTTTGTTTGTTTGTTTATTTATTTTTACTGACTTATCAAGAGGTGAGTTGGACACTGTGGAGGTTTAGGTGACTCTGCAAAACTGTCAGGAAGAATTGTAGGAGAACCAGAGGGAAGGAGGCTGATTTACTGGCGGGCATATGAAAGCAGTGGGTCTTTGCCAGGCACTCGCTGGCCTTGCTGAACTAAGGGAGACCAAAGGATTAAACCTGAAATAGCCCAAGCATTTAGGAAGGTGAGAGGCCAAAGGAGAGCACTCCAGGGAGGCATCACCTTCATGAAGTAGACTTTCTCCAAGTCCCTAGACTCTCTCCAAGGCTAAGATCGCTGCAACAACAGATGCTCCACTCTGCACAGCAGATCTTTTACCTCCCGTAATTGCTTATCCTGAGGTCACTGGCTAAGGCAAAACACCTGCTCTGAGATACTGGAACTGGTTCTAAGTAAACAGGAGCACGAAGGGAGAGAAAAGACCAATCAGAAGCTCCGTTTCCGAATGGATGGTAGGGGCATGGATGAGATGGGCGCTTTACCAGCGAACCAGATGGAAAGGCCTGCAGGGAACCAAGTTGGGCAGCAAGGATGCCAAAGATCAAATGCAGAGATGCTGTCAGCTGAGAGAAGTTTTCTGGCATAAAAATAAAAGTGGGCTGATATCTGTGTGTGCACCCTTCGGCTTCATTAAAAAAATACCAGTCTTACAAAGGTCACATTTATTTGCTTTCCCTGTTCACCTGGACTCCTACATGCAGACCGGTGCCAATACTGAGCCAGAGCTAGTTAGCCTGAAGAAACCAACATGCTTGGGAAACACTTCTTTCACTAACTTGTAAAAGTAGCTATGCTTGATACAATGAAACCGGGTTCCCCTTCCTTCTTTTGCTTTGAGTATTAGCAACTGCTTTCATTGGTACAGGAGCAGGCCCGGACTGGAAGCATTAAGTTTGTGTGTGCTAGTAAAAATGCAAAAATAATTGTTGATATTTGGGCTGACGCTTTCCAAAACGATTTTCTGATAACTACCCATTAAGTACAGAATATGGTATTATAATAGACTCCTTAGAAGCATTCTAGAAACGGAAACCCTCTCAGCTTTCTCCACTTCATGATTCCCACTCAGTCTTACCACCCTCTCCTCTCCAATACAATATAATAAAGTAGCTAAAATGCGGGGCCTATAAGTCCTTGACTGACTCGAACACAAACCACCACAGAAGCCTTCAAAAGGCAAACAGTACCCTTGATTAGGACTGAGTTCCCATGTCAATGACTGTGGAAATCTGGCAACGTCTGATTTCCAATGAACTGGGTAAGACATCGCTTCTTCTTTATGTATTGTTGCCACCAGAATTCATCTACCTGATACAGAAACAGGTTACTCGTCTGGAAACCAAAATCATGTGCATCCAATACTGGCATCGATATAACAATGACTGAAGTTGTTGGCAATTATTCATTCGCCAGAAGAACAACACATTTCGGGTCAGAAAGCCACATAGCCATCGCCTGAGTATTCCCAGCCCTGGGATATGGCTGACTATGGGGACCATACCTTAGCGGAGAGCCAGGAGTCTCCTCCCACAACCTGGGCTGGGTCAGTTCTAGACAAGCACAGTGTGCCTCCGTAGCCAATGTGATCCACTTTAGCCACTACTGAAGGGATTCCTATTACTTGAGAGGAAATATTCAAGAGCCATTGTCCACGGTGATGCCTTTTCTAGGAGGAAAAGCAGGAAACCTGCTGCCTGACCTCTCTCCAGAGAGGCTGTCACACATGCTGACAAGAGAGAATCACACAACTTAAGAGAACATTTAGCAGAGCGACTTTTTTCCAAATCTTTGTTTTGTTTTCAAATGACGTTTTTTCCTCTCAAATAAAATAGCATCTGAAAACTCAAGTATATCCAAAGAGAGTAACAATCAAAAGCAGCTTGCTTGCCTCTTTTCTCCTTTAGGATGGCTCACAAAATCTTGGGGCTTTTTGTGACGAAATTAGAGAACTCCCAATTTAGACTGACCCCTGACCGCTCTCGTATTAAAGAGGAAATTGAAGCCCAGAGAAAGGATAAGTGAACTGTTCAAAGTCAAAAGCTTAGTCAGTGGCAACACCAACACTAATCCTGAGGCCTCCTGGCTTGTATTCCAGTACTTTCCCCTTTAGCTCTCCTCGGGCCAATATGGAATTGACTAGGCAGGTGTGGCTGTTCAACACGTGAAAAACGGCTTGTCCACACTGAGATGCACTTCAAGTCTATAATTCAAATCTACAACACTTCAGACCAGGAAAAAATGTAAAGTATCTCATTAAATATTTTTATATTGATTACTCATTGAAGTAATAAGATTTGGAACATATTGGGCTAAAAAAAAATGTATTACTACAATTAACTCCAGCTATTCCTCTTTACTTTTTTAATACAGTCACTAGAACTTTTAAATTTGCATAAATGACTTGTATTAGATTACTGTTGGCCAGGAGTGCATCCTTCTCAACAAATAAATGAGAACAGAGTGGATGGAAATTGTATTCTATAATCTTTCTTCTTTTCCAGCTTTGGTTCCTGTAAAAAATCAAACTATCTCAAAACTGGCTGCAGAGTGGAATTGCTTTTAAAAATGAATGACGCCCAGGCCCATCTCCTAGAGATCCTGATTTGGCTTGGCTGGGGCAGGGCAGTGGCACGCTCTTAAAGAAATCCAGGTAGCCCTAGCTGGTTTGGTTCAGTGGATAGGGCATCAGCCTGTGGACTGAAGGGTCTCAAGCTCGAT